CTGCTGATTACTGACTTCTCTGGCTAAATATTAAACCGAAGCCATTATATTTGGCTGCAGGTGATGAACAATTTAGCAGGCATTTATGAAGGACAAGTTGGTTCTTCCAACCTAATTCTGCATTAAATTAATACTCATTCTCCTTTCCCCTTTTTTTCTTCCTTGGCTTTCCAGATGGGAGAGAATAACCGTCTTCTCTGTGAGCCAGTAAGGGCATCATAGCTGTGCAATTTATAAGGGGACCAGGAATACAGATAACAACAACAAAACCCAGACTGGGTGGTCACTTAATTCAGAATGAAGTGTAGTGCAAATATGGGGAAGAGTTAAAAACACAGCATGCAGCAACCCCCTGAAACTCTTGTTGTTCCTTCTCCCTCCACTGCCCCAGGGTCCTTGAAACACAGTGCTTTTACAGCAAGAGAAAACAAGAAAGGGAAGCCTTGACATTGTGTCTGAAGTTCAATGAAATGTGAAGAGAGTGAAGATCCATCATATCTGATTACCCTTACAAGGTTTTGCTTTGGTAAACTAAGAGTATTACTGACTAATATTAAGGAGCACATGGAAAAGCTGAGGACCTGGGCAGCTCCCTACGTGGGGAAGTCGCCCTACAGCAAACACGTAGCTTGCTGTGCAACAACTTTGAGCTCACTGGGCTCTTCAGGGCACTAATGCTGGTTTGGCATGCGTTAGGAATGTCCACCCGCAGAGTCAGTAAAGATCAGCTAAGGGTGCTGTGACGTTCATGTCCTCTTCCCTCCCACTGACCACCCGTGCAGGGAAGCCCCAGGGCACCCTCCAGGTCAGCATCTTTCAGAGGCTTTCTCAGATGAAAGAAGGCTGGAGGACAAGGCAGTTATGGAGGTGGTGTAGCATCATTACCAGGCAGTCGCTCTCCCGAGGCCCTGTGCACCCCGCAGCACACTGGTTGTGGCAGCAGTCGCTGGGCACCTTTCCCCTGCACCGGCCAGAGCACTGCTGGGCACAGATGACTTTGGTTACTAGAAGACACAGGAAAAAAGAAAAAAATCGGGAATGAAGAACGTTCAAGCTGTACTTGCTGCAATGAGATCAAGAAATATGGACAAAAGGTCTGGTGCAGGATCTGTGCTAGATTTTCCCCGTGGGATGTGTAGTCTATCCTCATATAAGGCCAAAGCTCAGGAGGGGTGAGAGCTGGTGTGGGTGGTGGTGAGAAGAGGTCATGTTCAGCCTGTAATTATCTTGGCTCTTGTGGGGTGCTAAGCACTGTTGTTCAAGCCAGCAAACCATGTCCTGCTTAGAAAGAGCATCCAGGTCCCTGTGGCATCAATGCCTAAACCAAGAAAAACTCCATGGAGTCACTGCATCTTACAGCTGGGCAATAGAGCAGGATCTGGCTCCATTTTGTTGAAAAAATCTGCAATTATTGGTGCTAGCTTTGGGAAAAACGACACGAGAGGAGAACTGCCAGGACTATATGGGGAAAACGTACATCGTTGGTGTGGTGTTAGGATCCCTTCAATGCACTAAAAGTATTTCTGAAATTTGCAGAGTGAGGGGAGACCAACCCAGCAAACCAAGTTCATGTGCATATTGTATTATTTTTCTTTAGGCTTCAATTCCTTGGCCAAATTTTATCTTCATTACTCAACTCCCACAGGGTTTGCACCAGTGCAGCAACACAGAGGAAGAACTGGCCCTGATTCAGCTTTTTGCAGGGAAGAAAAAACTGCCTGCCACATTTTGTTGAGAATCGGGAAATCGTCTCCATTTGAATATCAAAGAAGAGAAAACAATAATCAATACAATTAAAAAAACCCCCAGAAATTAATGGCTAGCGTGCGTTTGTACCAGAGCCCCAAAACGAGATTGTTTGTTCTCTACAAAAAAATTACTGATCCACAGACCCCGGCGTTAGACGTCAGAGAAACCTGATGGCTAACCCACTGCATTACAGCACCCTGAGCGTTCCGGCTGTGCACTACAGTAACTGTTATCGACTTTACAGCTGGCACAAATGAGTTACAATATCGTCAGGAATTCCTGTAAGTCCGAAACAGATGGATGTTAATTAACAGAAAATTATTGGAAAATGTAGCCTGCTACACGGTATAGAACAGTGATTTTTCAAAATCATATTTCCTCTCTTTTTTCATTACACATTTTTGTATCTGAACAGTATTATTTCATTTTTCCTGTAGGCCTGTAAGCAAGATATTGTATTTTCAGGGAAACAGATTATTTCCACAATATGTATTAGCTTCTCTGATAGCAACTCCTCCGTTCAACCAGAAACAGGGGAATAAAAGGCACATTGTTCTACATGAACAGCATTTTGATACAATTTTTTTCATAAGCATCAGCAAGGGAGTAAAACAGCTCGTCACTTTGATAGCTATTGACTGGAGCTTCCTGCTGGAAACACGTATCATGGCAAATGTTTATATTTCATACAGAATATCTCACGTTCGTCGAAGGAGAAAGATATGTATCACCCCAAACTTTCCCACATATGGAAATGTGGGATGCATTTTGAGTTGGCTGGATTCTCAAACGCCCTGAGAGGAGAGCCAGAGCCTGAACACAGTTTCATTTTATGTGCTCCTAGTCATCCTCCCGAAGCCAGCAAGAGTTTGTGAATGCTGGAAGCTTGCAGGGCTGAGACCTGATGTTTCGCAAGCCCCCGGGACAGCTGTGCGGCCTCAGCTGCCGGCACAGACCTGGGAAGGGCTTTGCGTCCACAGCCACTCTCCACATCAAGAGCAGTTCAAAGCATGAGCCAAACTGCGAGCTGACTGAAAAAAACCCTAGAGCTTATACTAAATGAAGAGAGAGAAGCTATGTGTTCCTTTTTCCTTAAGCCCTAGAAGCCATACAGATTTGGCCTGATACTCAGAAGCAAGAAACTTGGGTTTAGGTGATTATTTGCAACGGAAAACCAAAGATTGGATGTTGCTTTCATCTGAGTTATGTCTAGATCAGCAGTCTTTCCACTGAACTTTACACAAAACCGGAAGGAAAGAAGAATCAGAAACAGTGAATTTCCCTACTTATTACAGGAAAATGAACTAATGAAGTCTGAAAACATATTGAGATGGTCTTCTTCCTCAGCCGTGACTTTAGGAAAAATGAAGCCTTGCAAAACCTCAAGCACTTCTAAATGGATGTTTCTGTCGCTCTAAGACTTAATATCAGGCAAGCATCCTACCTGCAAAATTTTACAGTAAAGCACAGGCACCAAACTGCACAACCTCACAATGCCAAATATCTCCAAATATCTCATTTACAAATTAAAAAATGGCTATGCGTTTTCTGAGAGCCTTCCAAAGGTCCTCTGAGTACAGTATGTAATGTGATCACCCACATGAAGGTGACATCTTTTGTGTTTATAAAAGGAACCGATGTGCATTCCAAAAAGAGGAATTAAAGCCACCAAAAATCAAGTTATGTTGTTGCTTGTAACAGTGCAAATGAATTGAAAGTATCATTAACTAGCCTGCAGAATGGCTCTACGAGACACAGCAGGAAGGTAAACAATTCAGCACGCAGCTACTGCGTTCCCTCTTATATGGCAAAATAAAGAATAAATGATCTCAAGTGCAGATGGGAGAAAGTTGTGGGCGACAGACTAAAGCTTTCAACATGGGAGACAGCTGCAGTCTTTTCCCGCTGGAGGAAAAGCACATCTGCAGGGAAACCCGGGCCCAAGTCAAACGACCTCGAGGTTTCCCCTCCAGAAATGGAGCTACTCGAGGGAGCGGGCACAGCCACCCTCCCCGCCACCGCGCTTCCGCAGAGCGGGAAGTGGGCCAGGTCCCTCTGTGGTGTGCTTCAAGGGGCCCCAGCGTAGCGGGATGCAGAGAAGGACAAGTGTAAAACACGTGTCACTAATTCGTGCTTGATGGGTTAGTTTTTCAGTAGGTAAGAGTTTAGTATGTCAGAGCACACAAGATATTGCTTAATTAATCTGCAGGCTTACGTGTCTGGCAGTTCTGCTCGCCAGGGCCCCAGCAGTGGTCTTCTGTGCAGTTCGGATGGCATTTGGGACCTAAACCGTGAAAGCAGAGTATTATATTCTATAAACATGGTCGACAACATCATCATGTCAGTCACAGAAAAAAAGCTTCAGATTTTCTTCTCCATAAATCAGGGGAGGAAGCACCTATATACCAGTGCTCAAAAATTTTGAGAGCTGGACCTTAAATCCTTATGCTTTGTTCATTTCTCATTTCCTACGTGCAGTTCTCCACACCTTTGAGCAAGCAAGTGCAATACCCAGCCAGTCTAGCTTACGAAAGAGGCGTATTTTTCCCAGGAACAGGAATCTCAGCTACTGCCTGGCTGGTCCTTCTGCTGGAGTTTGCATGCAACGGCAAGTCACCGCTGGCTTGCAGCCGGGCATGTGCCAGCTGCTCGCTACAGGCCACATGTAAATCAATGTTTCTGAACAACTAAAAAGAAAACAAACCCAACTGGATTCACAGGGAACTGCCAGCCACTCCGACCACAAAGTAATTCAACTTGTCTGCTTCGCACCCTCCTCCCGCCCTCTGCCAAAAATACTCCTTGGCGTAGGGCTACGAGGCAGATGGACAGTCGATGGAGAGGCGGCAGGATGGACGGATACTCCTCCTGACCTTGAAGGTTCAGTGCCAGGCTCTTTCCCATCCCTCCCTCCTTTCTCTCTGTTTCTTTCTTTTTCTTTCTCTTAGTGACAAATAAAGTCCCAGAGAAACAACTTATTTTGGATTACGGGATCGTTATTGAAACCATAAACGGCTGTCTAAGCAGATTAATCTGGAATTCACTACATTTAAGAGGCATTTCCTACCAGAGTGATTCTCCCTGCTAACAACACGTGATTCTCCCTCCCCCGCCCCGTCCATCAAATAGTTGAACAAATGTTAATACTTGTCCCAGAGTTGATTGATTTGATGCGGGACCAAAGAACGTTTTTGATTTTTTTTTTTAACTTGAAAAGTTAAAGGTTAACATTTCTGTGGTGTTTAGAGCCAAACTCCTGTGCTGACTTGTATCGTTTGCAGCCCTTTGATTACGCTAGGGCTCCACAGGAAAATATGTCAACACAGAAGAAGTTGGCTATTAGCTCTCAGGCAATTATGCAACTGGAAGAAGATAAAGAAAATATGTTTTTCTGCCAATCTACAGTGCCAGAAATGAAATGCTCAGAAATGAAAATAAACTCCCCTTTCCAAGGGGATTTTACAAGGGACTTGTAAGGCTGAAGGATTAGCTTGAGCCCACTCAAAGCATATGCTATACAAACTTTTAAATACACGCTCATCTCCCTGCTGATCTAAAGTATCAGATTTATCTGCCTGTTTATCATTAATTTTGCAAGGATAATCCATGCAGCCCAGAACACCAGAGTTTTACGGCACTCAGTTTGGGCCTTAGCGCTAAAAAGGCTTCAAGTTCCACAGTAACACCATGAAGGTACCCATATGGGTCTTCTAGACCACAGCCTTATATTGTAAACAGAAGATTGCCAGAAAACAAATGTGTGCACATTATTCTGAGCTGTTTTTGAAGAAACACATACGCAGGGTACTGTCTGAAACCAAGGGAAGCTTTCCCAAGAATTTTGCTATGAGTTAAGGACCTAACTACCATGAAAAAATTACATCTCTGGCCAGTGGTGAAGAAATTAATGGACTTCCCTTGGAACAGGACATGGTAGCCCTGCATGCATGAGTTGGTGGACCTGAAACCCATCACACAAAAGATGGGATGTGCGTTCTTGCCTCTGAAATGGGGGAGCACATAGCATTGTTGGAAAGTTAATACTCACAAGAGGACAGGTTGCTTGCAAACTCAAGCACCGTGAGAGGTTTCTTGCTTGTGTCAATGATGTCATTCCAGAGAACAGTGTCCATGTTGCACAGTTTGGGGTTATTGCTGATTTTAACACCTCCATTGAGAATTTCTGCCACAGAAGGAAAAAAATTAGTAAGTGAGGCAAGCTGCCTAAGTCTTCTGTCTCTGACGTAAAGAAAGGGAAATAAAACACATGTTTCTTCACTTCAGTCATACTATGCAGTATAGTGCAACTAGCACAAGGCTCAGACTGTCGGGTTCTGCTGTTGGATGCCACTAAGATGCCAGTACCTGTGGCTTTCTGCCTGGTGCCACCTCCAGAGGCCACTGCACTCAGCCAGAGATGGCACTGCTGGTGTGCACAGCCAGAGACCATCAGCCAGACACTGTGTTAGACCCTAACTCACATACCACCAGCTCTCACTGGAATTTAACAGAAAATACTGATGTGCACGTGCTGGAATCAAATAATGCAAAATAACGAGTAGATACTTCTTTGCCATTTTGGGGGACACAAATAAATCTCACCATCCTGTTGATGCTTTGGATTTTCTGGATCTTTCTGCAATAGGAAATTACGAACTTTCTTCATCTTTTGAAGAAGGCTGGCTAGCAGGAGAGCAATTAGGAAACTGGGAAACTATATTCAGATCCTTGTTTTTAAAGCAGGATTTGATGGCAAATGACTTTGAGAGAAGATCTTCAATTGGATCTTGATACCAATAACTCAAGAGTTGAAGTTTGCTTTACAGATGCCTCCATCTCTTGCCCTTGTCTCACCTGATAGCCGTTTCATTGGTAGCTCTCGGAGTCCCTGGGTTTTATTCATGTGGTAATTGGATAAAACTGCCAGGGCGTAAGAGTTGTCATACAGCACATTGCCTCGGATGATCTGGAGGTTTTCTAGGGGAATGACATCCACCATGTTAAGTGCGATGAGTACGTAGCCTGCAACCTCCTGTATTGTCTGAGAGAACAACAGAAGAAAAAAGGTGCTTAATCCGTAGCACTCGTCTACTCTTGGCAGTGTTGCTCCTCCCACCCCTCTAATCCACCATCTTTCAATTTTAAGGAACAATAAACCACTTAATCTCATTAAAAGAAAAAATTAATCAGAGAGCCAGGAGGGACTATGTGGAAAACTTTGCTGTCTAAGAATGTCTAAAAATGTCTTTGCTGTCTTTTATGTCTGAAAACTTTGCTGTATGAACTGACCCTTAGAGTAGCTACCAGGCGGTCATTCCAAAGGTCCAGCTTACCCCTGTTCCGTCCCCAAGCAAGGGCAAGTTGGGCTGCCTAGAGGATGCAGGAGAACAGGGCAAGCATGTATAATATGGCAACCAAGTGTGATGCTTCCCCTGAATCCTTGCCCAGTCCCCAACCATTGGCAGCACAGAGGCACCATCTGATCGAGGTTTTTACACTTGCTCTTCTGTGCCCCTTCCCTTGCGGATCCTCCAATGGTCAGCAGAGGGGAAGATCAGGTAACCTTCTCCCTCTTAAGTAATAGTTACAGGACAACAAAACAAGTGAGGCACCGTCCCTGGATGTAGGTTAATTGCTGCCTTGTTCTGTGAAATGTGTGCATTTCTATCTATCTCCTACAAAAATCACCATAAATGAAAAACCTTCGGGCTACCACTTGGGGTATTTTCCTGTTCTGTGAAGACCACCAGTGAGTTTTCAAGAGACCTGTTATTCCTGGGAACACTGAGCTGTGTGGTAAAGTCGTGCCTGGGAAAGAAAAATGGCAATACTTTGTAACCCATATGTCTGAACCATCTCTTTTCTGATGTTCTTGCTTTTTACTATAACAAAATACTTTCTTCCCTTTTTTTGTTCCTTGATGAGAAAAGCTCACACAAAGAGATTACTCTTCTCAACCCAGAGGACTGACCTGTTTATTCAAAGCTACCATACAAAAGCTCTTGATACCAGCCATACACTTATCATGTCAAAAAAACTTCTTCCTCCCCTGGCTCTTTCTTTGAAAACCTCCTAATCTGATAATGTGGCATGCAAAAAGCAATGCATTTAAAACATCGTCTTTTAAAAAAAAAATAACCTAAGGTGTGATGCTATTGTTGCTGGCGGCAGTCTGGCAGCGGGGCAAGAAGAGCTGTATCCCTTGCCCGGTCTCTGCTGGTGGAGAACCTGGAGATCCTCATGGCAGACAGTGCTCCTCGCCATGCTGCAGCTGTGTTTTAGCATCCACCCCCTGTCTGTTCCCCTCTCAGCTTGCCACGGTTGCTCGTGCACTTGTGCACAAAGCAAATGTTGAGATGGGAACAGCCCGTGTGTCAACTGCAGAGGATTATCTTGAAGATTGCTTGATGCATCCGTGTGGGAAGTTATTGCACAGGATCTGCCTGCTTGCTTGGGGTCTGGGTGCTGCAGACTGGAGAGGCACTCACCACCATGGCCGGGGAAGGGACCACAGTTTGGAAGGATGGGTAAGGGCCTCCACACTTCAAAATCTGCCACCAGTGGGTTGCCATTCACTTTGCGATTTGCTTTGCCCAACAGCACCACAAAGCCTGTTGCCCTCTGAGGTGTGAGGCAATGGGTAAGGATGTAAAAATATTTATTAAAAAAACCCATCTGCATGGCAGCCAGCACTGGTTGGCAAGTGTTTGAAAAGCTATTTCTCAAAGTACCTGATTTAGTATAGTAGGGCTGAAGGTATCCTGCAGCCTACAGGTATGCTGAGACTGTGATCTGCAATTTCTCTGACAGTAGCTAGCTATGTTTTTGGATCACCAACAACATTTTGTAGGTACATGATCCTTTGCACTTAAAAAAATGCAGGGAAGGCCACCTTGGCCAAGAACACCAACCTTGAGGAAAGAGAGGTCACGATTGTGTTCCACGTATGTAATCTCCAGGTTGCTCAGTACCACCTCGCAGTTGTTGTACATCCTCTGCAGGCTGGTGAAATGGTCTTCCACATGTCCCAGTTGGGTCAGCTTGTTATTTGTCCCTTGACAAACTGTGGAGGAAAGAAGAAAGCTCTATGAAGGAAAGCAAGAATAAGTACAGGGTAAAGACTTGTTGCCCACCTATCTTTGCAGGCACCATAGCAAGTGAAGCATCAGCACATGTTCATAAGAAACAAGAACGTTATCTTGCATGACCATAATAGTGCAATAGTGTAGGGAGCATGTGACATTTCCCAGGCACAGAGATGGACCGGAATTAAGAGCTGGAATAACCCTCCGTCACTTTCTGTTATATAAAAAACTCCAAGATGAGGCTTTCATACACAAGTAGCACTAAGTTTTCTGTAGCACAAACATAACTCGGTTCCTGAGGAGAGGGCATTGATACAGTGCCATCAAACACCATTGAAAGTGGTATGCTGCCAGGTATTTCCTGGCTCTTTCCCTGAGGATCCATTTACAATGCTTTGGGAGGTGTTGGGTCTCCTTGTAAGCTCAGTGGGAGGGAGCGGGTGTTTCCTGCAGGACCCCTCAAGCTACAAGACTGGGTTTTAAGAGCAAACTGAACCTTCAGGGCTCACACATCTCTTGCCACTCTGACATATGGGAGGATGGTAGATTCAAGTGACTTCCTGGCATATTCAGCTTTGGCACACAAATCCACCTAAGCCTGCTTTGCTGGTGGGGAACGAAGCAGTGCTATACAGAGCACCGCTGTGATTACAAACATTTCTAATGGCACGGTAGAAAAATTAGTTCCCACCTGAAATTCTATTACTTGGGTTTGCCAAACCTAGAGGGACTGTCAAGTTATCACCACTATATTCAACTGCAATAAAAGAGCAACATTCAAATTGCTTTAAAGAAAAAAACACCACACACAAGCCCCAGAAACTCTGTACTGTTCTAGTCATTCCCTGGGTTATCCCTACATAGCTAAAATTAAAACATCTCTGAGTTATGCCAATATAGAGGGAAGAAGAACGATACAGAAGGCAATGTGGTTAAAGACTTCACACCTTCCAGACGGAATGCTTCAGCCCAACTTTGCTCTTCAGTGGGAGCACAAGGAGGCCTTCATCTCATCGTCACTATAATGCAACCCAAGCCTGACCTCATAGCTTTCCATAAGACACCAAAAGAATTGCATTCTTTTAACTCAGAAAAAAAAATAAATGAAATGATACTTTTGTAGAGCCAAAATTGCTAGAAGCACCAGTCACAAACTGGAACACCACTGTGTGCGGTGCTATAAAGCAAAAACCAAAAACTCTTGACAAAGCTGGAAATAAGTTTCAGAGCTAGTAACGTAAGGCAACACCTATTTAAGATTTACCAAACAACTGATGCTTTATTATTAGGAAAAAGAACTTAATAAGCAGTGATAAAGACACACTTATCAATCGTCAAAACTATTCGTCGAGCACATGTAACTTCTCAGTACAGTCATCACCATTAAGGAGCTACAGTGATAACAGACTACATACTCTTTGTCCATGTTTAAAGGAAGGCTATTCACTCACATTGCTCAGTTATTTCTCATTACACATCGAGATGAGCATTATTGTGTTTGGGATCAGAATGTCAACCACTAATAAACGGGGACAGTTTAGCAGGGACTGTGATTACACTAAGCTGCTTGTTATTACATGAGCATCAAGTGTTGAAAATGACCCTTTTTACATTTGCCTTGAATTTCTGTAATGGATGAGAAATTCCTAAGCAGAATTTTCTGCTCCAGTTTCAAACTTAACTGTTCCAACATGCTTGTGCTTAAAATCAGCATTTGTGTTCCTCCAGCAAAGGAAAAATCCAGTAACAAAAGATTCTCAGATGGTTCTAAACCTCACCTTGGATGGTCAGTTTAGGCATCCCAGATCTGATCTATAAAATGGTGTGATTTTGAAATACGATGCAGAAGCAGGTGCAGTTTATACTGCTCAGAGAGACAAAGACACGTAAGTCAGCCTGTTCTGGTCTTCAGGGTCCACAAATGGCCTGATGCTCTCGCTGCATCCCTGGTGTTAACAGCAAAGATCTGCCCTGGTACTTTGAGACAGGCCCCATGCAAAAGCTGCAGTGTTTATGCTATGTCTGAACCGAAGGAAGGGTGTAAGGAGGAGCCTTCTGTGGTGGCATCCTCCTGGCCACCCACCCATACCCACCATCAACCCTATGCGGCTTGGCACTGGTTGGATTGCACAGTCCAGCTCACTGAAACAAGCCCTAGGAGAAACTGCACAGCCTTGAACGTGATTCCCTTGGGATAGGATAAACGCTGGAGCTCTGAACTTGGCTCAACTGTCCCAAGAAACACAGACTTTTTCACTGCTTACTAGGTCAAGGCTGATGCAGCAGCCGAGGGCATGGCTACTCTTGCGCTTCTCCCTCTCCCTCTCCCATGGGGCTGCTCAGTGAACCATGCCAAAGAGTTGATCCAAGCTACAAATAACGCAGAACAATAAATAAATACATATACAGAGTGTATTTTTAGCTCAGGAAAGCTCGTTGATTTGGTTCACCATGATGCCCCATGAACTGCTGCATTGGAAACAGCTTTGAGTACAGCGAGGAGGCAGGACCAAATAGTCAAGAGAAGGAGCTTGCCAGCTTGTGAAGCTGCAGAGGGAAACCCAGACATAACGAGCTCCCAAGAGGCTTCAGGTTGGTCCTCCAGGACCTACTTTCTTGCCCTGTTCTGTGAGTAGAGAGCGCTTTAATGGGTCTCTACCAAAGGTGTCTTAAGCCACATGCAGAACAACTTGACCCCTCCATCAAGCCCATCACATCCTCTACGCAGTAAACATTAGATGGGGATGAGATGTTAGTTAAGATCTGGAGAGCAAAAGGAAACGGGTTGCTTCTTTTAAGATCTCAACAGTATATGGCTAGCATCAGGCAGACCACCCTACAGGAGCTTTCCCCCTCATGCACAATTTTTTGTTTGCTCAAAGAGATACAAGGCCAAATCCTTGTTTGCTGCAAAGAGATCTAAGTACATCCAAAAAGTGAACTTCATCACAGCAGTATTGACCAAGTGAGAACCTGGGTCATAAGCAGTATATGCTGAGCAAATAAAATCCAAATCAAACAAAACAAGCTAAACCCCTGCAGCAGTATTACTGAACTCAGGCAAAGGTGCTGAATAATTCTCCAGCTAGAACATTTGGAAAGAAAAGAAAATGGCCTGCTTGCATCTGATTAGTAATAGCATTCCTGCAATTTCTTCGCTTACGAAAACCATGCTCGGAAAAGATACATGCTATAATTATCTGTATATAACACTACAGTGTGAACACCATTCTGGCCAGAGGGAAAAGCATAGACAATGCAGTGCTTGCCTTGCTCTGCAGAGTTTTGAGACGTGCATGCATGAGTGGATGGATTATATTATGATTTAAGCTCTATTGAGCTTGACCTATTTGCCCTCCAAAGGACAGATTTTGATGCTACATACATTCATTATAAACTTTTGTTTCAATGTGTGGTGAAGCCAGCACTATCCAGGTTTAGGAGTCAGTGGTGGGTATGGATACTTACATGGTACTGCTGGGGGCTGTGGTAGCATGTACCACATAATACATGTCCCATGTGGACACTTAGAAATGGCTGCAGCATTATAGCATTAGCTATAAAGCATTATATAGCATTAGCTATAAAGGAGAGTAAAAATACCAGAGAAGTTTCCTGATGAAAATTCAGGGTGAGAAAGTCCCTGAACAGTAGAAAAGCTGAGATCCAGAGCTGAACTTCAGGGCATGGGCTGATCCCTAAAAGACGAAAGCTTTGCTCTTATCTGTGATATTGATTCAATAAAAATACAGCCAGTCTGGAAAATCTGGGAAGTTTTGCAACAGAGAGCATGTCCCAGGAGGCGACCGTCCGCAGCAGCACTGAGAGGGGGGCTGCCTGCGGGGAGCACGAGGCTCACCTGCCCGAGCCCAGGTGACCCGCCAGACCCCCGGAGCCCCAGGCATCACCCCTGCGACGCGGAGGCAACCCAAAAAGTCTGCAGGGCAGCAGCATGGGGTTACCACCACAAAACATTTTATTCCTATATGATATTGCTCTTAGCACACATGCTGTGCTTCCTAAAGGCCAAAGTAATGTTGATCTTGAATCAGTCACAGTATTACGTCAACAGACAGCCTAGAAAAGAGGCAGATATTGCTGAAATGAGCCAAAATGTCAGGTGCTATATAAGACAGCAGTGATCAAAGAGGTTAAAGAAGAAGCACACTACTGATAGATGCAAACTCACTGAATTTTAGTGCTTATGAAAAGTGCAGGGTTGGCTGCCCTGGCTGCTAAAATCCTCTTCTGGTCCACAGACATGCCTGCTCCCCTTCTCTGACTCAAACTTGGCCTTAAAGGAGTATTTCTTGGTGATACAAATGGGTTCATCCTCTGCTACCCTCTCCGCTCCTTGGCCTTTTTTCTCTTGTGCAGCCCAAAGAAGTGGAATGAAACCGAAGCATTTCCTAAATGGCATTTTCCACGAGTGCTGGTAGGAAGAGAGAATGCATCCGTCCAGGCCGTAATGCTAAGGGGCTCTATTCTCCCAAATCCATACAAGCTTAGATTAAACAAAGTGGTCTCTGCAGCAATTGCCCTGATACAAGTGAAATCCGTTTTCATCTTTTCCCCAGAAAATCTGATTACTGAAGTCCCTATCCTGTCACGCATATTTGTCCCAGACTTGAGAAAAACACCGGAGAATGCTTTGAAACCAAATTACCACCAATCCCCAAATCAGCTGTTTCTGGCCATACTTAGCCTCTGTTGGTCTCCTGGCAGCTCTGACAGACAGATCAAAATAATAACTCACAAAGGCAATTCCAGAGACACAGAAGTCCATTTCCATGCTTCTTATATCACTTTTAACTCTATACGACCTAGCATAATAAATGGTTTGGTTTTTTTTTTTTGGCATGTTTTCCAGCCATTATTGACAACAACGCAAAACTTGCAGGCAAGAGCTATTTGTTTAATCTGCCAGCACATTTATAAATATTCCCCTCTCCTCACTTCTTGGTAGTAATTTAACTTCTGGGGGTTTTTTTCAGTATTTCATGGAAGAGCAGTACCTGCCCAGGCACTTGGTCCAGATACAAAGCTGGCTCGGAAGGCCAGGGGAGATAATGGCACAACCAGGGCGTGGGGAAAAAAACCTTTCAAGTGAACCAGAATAATTTTGTAAGAAATACTGCCCAACATGTGTCTGTATGGGCGATCACACCATCCCAAAGCCCTGCCCCTCGCATGGGGGATTCTGGCCATGCCACTCTAGGAGAAAAGCCGTTTCCCCTTACAAGGGCTTCCACTGACCTTCACCTAATGGGGTCTCAGAAATTAAATGAAAATCCTTGTGCTATTCAAGCACAAATCTGTATATCAGCTATAAGGGCAGGTCCTGTATATCAGGTATTTTTTTTAACTGACCTCAAAGCATTCCCTTGCAGGTATTGAACAGATCCACATAACCTCTCCATACTACTGTGGAAGCCAGAAAAGTGCGGCTAGTACTGTCAAATGATTAAAATAATGTCATATAAGCTTACAAGGAAGTACTAGAGCAGGCAGGACATTTGTCATCATGACTGATGAATATTTCTGATAGAAAGAATCATACAACACTTTCCCTAAAGGAAACAGGGTAGGAAATATCTGAGGTTGGAAAAAGAAAGTGACATTACGTTTTATGTGATTAACCATTTAAATAGAAACACTTCTTATATTAACCAGTTCCTCAACACTAGAGAGAGATGTGATGGATAAACTTTCGTATTACTGGGTTGAGTGTATTTTACATACCGAGCAAGAATTTCAAGAGGGAGGAAAGTCCATGTGACAGAAAAAGAAAACCACATCTGCTGCAATGTGCTGTGGGAAGTTACGAAAAGGAAAGGAAAAGCTAGAAAACAGGTGAGGGGTACAAACAGTGCTCAGACGCAGGCAGATGTTTTCCCTTGACAATAGGGGTTGCAAACATGTATGACGCCTAAAAAGTCCATTTTCATCTTAACAACAGCAGCATTCAGTCACTGGAAATGCTGCCACAGAAGATAATTTTTGCCCATATTCAAACAGTTTCATTTAAAACATCATGAAAAATAGCCTCGTGTGACTGTACTAAGTCCCTCCTCAAACAGCGTGGTTTAGACTAATGCAGTCACTGAGATTAATTCTGACTTCGAGATACACTAGGAAAAAAACAATGACAGAGCTCATAAAAATACTTAGATGGAAACTGTAATTGCAAAAGTGACCCAAAACTAATGCCATAGTGGAGAAAACGAATATGCCTTAAGGGAAAGCTTTTCCAGATGGTTTCTTATTTCTATGTACTTGATGAAAGCAACTTTTCCAGCTAAATCTAATTTTGAGTTCCCCTTGCTCTGGCTAGGAGTGGAGACCTGCCCTCCAATGGCAAAAGTCATGTCCTGAATTGCAAGGGACATAGGCAGTGTGACAATTAGATGGCCCAATTGCTGGTGAGCACCTTCACCTGAAAGAATAAATAATCATATACAAAACAACTTGCTCCTGAATGAAGACCTCTCCAAAGCCAGAACATTCCTGACAAGGGATTCAGCCTTATTAATTCCCTAGGGTGCTTTTTTTTTTCTCCCCAATATCAGTTCATAATATTTCAATTTTTCTTCTCTGTTGCCATTATTTAATTCAGCATGTATCTTCATTAATCCTCCAGATTAAGGCCAGACCAGGATGTACTGAAATCAGTCTTCCCACTGGCTTCAATGCAAACTGGGGGGGATTAAATTCTTCTCTTGCTGATGCTGGTGTAAATTCAGAGCAACTACAAGGACAGGGTGGGCTAGCCCAGGGTTTGAAGTTTCCTCTCCAAATGC